GCTCCTCCCACGACAACCGCCCAGATGCCGTGAACAAGATGTGGAAGTCTTGTTAGTGCGTGCTTGATTGTATCGTAGTCATGTTGTGTGCATTAGCGGGGACTTGAATGGAACGAGGACCTTTTATGAGCTGGAGCTATGACAGTGTTGAGGCAAGTAGTTTTCATGCTTGGCAATTCAGTTCCCTACGTGGGCACAGTTCAATGGCCACGTGAATTCATGCCCCAGCATCTTCCGCTATGTTCCAGTACGAGGAGCTGATCGGACCAACTTCTGGCATCCTCACTGACAATCCTCGATCGGTCGTCGCGCTCTATTCAATCAGCCGGACTGTGTGGCATTTCAAGCGTTCACCGCTGTTGTAGCTCTTTCACGTGAGTTCATTCACATGGGCTCATCCGCTTTGCCATGCCGAACGAAAATGTCCTCCGTCGACTCGGCACCATGATGCTTGGCGAACATTCCAGTCGCATGTGTTGTTTTTGTGCGACTAACTTCTTTTGATTGGCTCATGCTCTGAAAAATTGCAAAATGGCATACTTTAATTGGCTGAAACGCATCAAATGCTTTTGATTGGCTAAAATTCACCTGTCCCGCAGGGAACTGACATTTCTGAAAAAAACTCTCGTCATCATGGTCTTCATCATGATCAACGGCAACATGCCGCCGGCCGTCGTGTTTGCAATGATCGCGGTACAGGTCGCGCCCATGCTCCTACAAGGAACATCTATCTCTATTCGGCAGGATCTGCTCATGCTAACGGTGGGCCTGGGATACCTCGCGTACACAGTCTACACAAAGCGAGCAGTCTTGCAAGAGCGCGGTGTCAGTGGGTTCGTGACGTATCTTATGTCCAGCTTTCTTTCGCCTGCCCGTGGCACAGCTGTCCAGGACGAGCCCATGCACCAGGAGAATAACGAGCAGTACAGCCGCATGCTCAAGACAATTTCCCGACTCCCAACTGAAGAGTTTAAGGCGCCATCCGAATGCAGTGTGCACGATCTCAAGGAGCGTCTTGCGGTGCGCGGTATTCCCCACGGTAAAGTCATTGAAAAAGAGGAATTCGTTCGACTCCTCCAAGATTTCCGCGGCGGGCCTGCCGCATCGTGCTGCATATGCTGCGAAGACTATGTTGCAGGTGACGTACTGCGGATCCTGTCGACATGCAAGCACGATTTCCACCTCGAATGCATGGACAAGTGGGCCCTAACTCTGGCCAACTCAACGCGCACGCCGTCTTGTCCGCTGTGCAACCAAGAACTGTAACAAACCCAACTTTTTATGTCATCAGCGTGGTAGTGTTTGCTCGGGCACTGTCGATCGCGGCCATGTCAATGTAGCACTTCTTCTCGAGCGCCAGGAGCGCCAACTCGATGCGTCGCGTAATTGCTGAGTACAATTTCTTCTCGGCCGCTCCGCTTTCCCACGTGAACCCGTCGCCCTGCCAGCTCATACATCAACACGACACGAGGGCAAGAAGGAAGAGGCGCCTTACCGCGATACCTTGGCGTCTGTCGGCCTCGTACTTTTTGAAGAGGTCGTCAAAGTAGATGGGGCTCCCCACGACCACATGCACGCGTTGCCCGACTCGAGGGATGACACTCTTGAGCTTGTGCTCGGCAGTTTGCGGCATCACCTGAAACAGCTACGTCAGTGGTGGCTCGCCAAGAATACGAAGAGTGCAGTTTGCAAAGTCTCACGATGGATTGCACATACCTTGTCCATGCCAACGTGGTAGATGGGCAGCACCACTGGCGTGATCTCGGCGCGGGCAATCAGCTTGCCGACTCCCCACTTCAGACGCCCGATTGTGGTGGCTTCGGGCCCGTCACGACCTCCCAACGCTGCGTCCCACAAAGCATCAATGAAAATACGGGGGATCAAATGAAAACGCAAAAGACTTACCACCGCCTTGTACGATTTTACCTTCGGGGAAGATGTGGACCCAGTCACCGTCTTGCACCCGCTTGAACAGATCTTCGAGGAAGGGGTGGTCGATGCCAGCGCCGCGCTTGATGGGCAGAGTCTTCGTTCCAAAGAAAATAGTGGACAGGAGAGGCCCCTTCGCGTAGCAGTACTCTTGGCTGCAGATAGACCATCGAGACAAACTAGGGCGAGCACAGGACCATGGAAGCATCGCTGCAAGCACCGCTGGATCGTCCACCGTTGCCGAATGGTTCGTCACAGTGATAAGTGCGCGGTGGTCAGGTCGGGAGAGGACCCACTTCTCCAACGTCTCTTCGTTGCGACACGTAAAGTCGTTCATCATGCCCAGGTACACTTTGGACACAAGCGTGGCAGGGTAAAACAGAACGGACCTTGCCGCAGCAGAAACATACGCAGGAAAGCGATCTCGGGTATGGTTTGCACGGTGCTGCAGAAAGGTGTCGTCGTCTTTGTCTGCAACAGGCGCATCGATGTACAGAGCAGCGGTTCCGACGGCGATCGCAGCGCTTGCTCCGACTCCAGCAACGCGGAGCACTCGTCGCACCGCCATGGCGAGTGTTTGTTCAAGATGCAAAAACGGCGCAACATCCTGTATACTATTGTATTATCTGAATTAATGTATTCACGTCCCGAACGAAATAAAATTTCGACGAGACCTGTCCAAATTTAATGGGCAATTCGCTGGCGACACCACCGTACGACGTGAGCGAACCATTTTGAGAACGACACCAAGTGCACCGATCCATCTCTGCCGACAAGGCTGCCCAGCTTAAGCATCGCCACCGAAGATAACGCGCAAGGCAGAATTATCAAGCTTTGGGCAAAACACCGCCACTTCTTCCAAGCCGCGGACGATCTCATGACAAACCAACGTAAACTACACAAGCGGACGCAAATACCTCGCGTGTCGTTGACGAATTATCCAAGGTAAAAATATCAGCATCAAGTGGGCAGAGAAAATAACGTAGATTATACAAAAGCATCTTCAGCTCCACTATGTGCAGCCGACATGGGCTACCGATCTATTTACTCGTCAACGTAGTCGTCCAAGTCCGAGTCTTCGTAGATTTCGCCACGCTTCTCGGCTTCCTTCTTCAGCTTGAGCTTGGCCTTGAGCTCCTTGCGGGTGAGCTTTCGCTTGACCTTGGTGACCGTCTTGTTGCCAAACGCGTCGACCGTCTCCTGCGCGTCGATCTGTTCAATTTTGGTCTTGTCTTCCATGACTTGGCCTTCGATCGAGCAAAACCCGGCCTCGACGTTCCACGTTTCGATCGCCAAGTGGTCAGTGAACTCGCGGTTGTGCGAGATCATGACGACGCCGCCGCCAAACTCCTTGATGGCCGTCGCCAACGCACCCAACGAGTCGCGATCCAAATAGTTGGTCGGTTCGTCCAACACCAAGATGTGCGGGTTGAGCCACATGGCCGCAGCCAAGACGACCTTGACCTTTTGCCCGCCAGAGAGACCGCGCATGCGCGAGTGCGTGCCGAATTCAGCGCCCAGCCCAAAGTTGTCCAAGTGCTTTTGCACGGCGATGGCCGTGACGGGGCGCGCTTGCAAGTTGGCGCGGGCCGCTTCGCGATCGTCGGCAATTTGGAGCAACTTTTCAAAGCCCCACTTTTCGAGCTTCTCTCGCGGCACCCACGAGTTTTCCGTGTCGGGCAGCTTCACCCACTTGATTTCGTACTCGAACGACTTTTTGAGCTTGCGGCGGTTCTCAATCGACTCGATCACGCGCTTCTCGCCTTCCCAGTTGACGGGCTGTTCCAAACGCGCCTTCTCTTCCGGCGAAATCTTACGCGTCTCCTTGGCCATCAATTCCTTGTCTTCACCAGACTGGAAACGCCACTGGATGTACTGGTTCGCCGTCAAGTCCAAGTGCTCTTCAATGTGATGGAACGCGTGCTGCGCCACGTACGCAAAACGCATCGACGGGTGCTTCCACAACGTCCCTGTCGTCGGCTCGACTTCGCCCGTCAACATCTTGATCATGGTCGACTTGCCGGCGCCGTTGGGCCCGATCACGGCAATGCGCGACGACAACGCACACGTAATCGTAATGTTGTTGATCGACGGCTTGGACGCGCCAGGGTACTGGTACGAGCAGTTGTTCATGCGGATGATGGGCTTCCCCTTGTTCTTGATGTCGGCAAGGAAACCCGGCTCGGGAAACTTGAACGCAAACGTCGCGGCTTCCAAGTTGTAGTACGCCTTGGCTTCCGGGCGCAGCTCGACAAAGTGAGACATGTTGCCCACATACGTCTTGAGCTTGCGGTTCTTTTCGTAGTGGATGATGTTGGTGCACACGTTGTCGAGGAATCCAGAGTCGTGCGATACCACAATCGACGTCACGTCGCCGGCATGGGTCAGGTAGTTTTCCAACCACGCAACGTTGGCCACGTCCAAGTGGTTGGTCGGTTCATCCAACAACAAAATGTCGGCCTTCATCAACATGGCGCGGGCCAATTCGAGCTTCATCTTCCACCCACCCGACAACGACCCGACCGCTTGCGCTTGCATCGTGTCCGTGAACCCGACCGACGCCAACGTGTCCGACACTTCCTTGCGCGACAACACGCCCTCAAAGTTCGGGTCCTTCGAGATAAAGTCCAACACAGACAAGTCGGCTTCTTCCGCTTGCAAGTTGTGCTCGACGTACACCGTGCGCACTTCGTCCTTGGACGGGAACCCTTCCAACTGACCGTTTGCAATCGCACGCATCAACGTCGACTTGCCCGCGCCGTTGGGCCCGCACAAACCGTACCGGTGCCCCTTTTTCAGCTGCAAACGCGCGTTGTTGAGCAAAATCATACCACCGTACGCCAACGAAAATTCGCAGTCGCACAAGTCTTCGCCTTCGTCTTCTTGGATCACGTCGTCCGCGATCTTGAGCTTGTTGTCCTTGAAGCACTTTTCGCGAAAGTCCTTGGTGATGTGCGGGATCTCGTGCTCGTCCACAAACGCAAGCAGGTACGGCTTGACCGAGTTGGACCACTTCTCCGGAATGAAGCTGCGGGCCAACGTGAGGTAGAACCCGTTCCCGGCCACGTAGTTGAGCGTCGCTTCGTCAATGTGGGCGTTCTTGGCGGCCGGGATCTTGTCGATGATGGTCTTCAACGCGGCCAACACGGCCGAGAACTCGACCTTGCCTTCGTCTTCGCTCAGCTCGACGTTACCGGCGGCCATGAGCAGCGTGCTGTGGGCGCGCTTGACCACGTCGCGGCACTCGGGGTCGGCCACCGACTCGATAATACGCTTCAACGTGGGCAGCACCTTGGGCGTAAACAACAACGCTTCGGCCGGGTCTTCGACCAACTTGCACATGTTGTCAATGATGACAGCCGTCTGGCGCTTCACCGATGTCTTGTTCTCGTTCAGCCCACGCACCAACAACGGTTCCATGATGGCCAACGCGGGCGCTTCCACCGTCTTCACGAACGTCGTCGACGCCAGCTTGTGCACGCACTCGGACACTTCCGTCGGGTTCGCCATGCACGACACCAAGGCCGGGATGAACGGCTCGATATCGGCGTTCGACGCCGTCGAGCACGCCTTGATCATGACTTCGTTCGCCGCCTTCTTCACTTCCGGACGCGTGTCCCAGATCTGCTCGGTCGCCTTCGGGATGATGTCGGGCAAGTTGCGCGACACTTGCACGGGGTGCAGCGCGCAAAAGTCGATGATCAAGTTGAGCGCGCCTTCCTTGGTTTGCCACTTCTTGACGCGGTCCAGCCCTTGGAAGATCAACGGCAGCACAAAGCTCAACGCGTTCTCGTTGAACGATTGCACCAACGCCTTGGCGGCTTCTTGGGCCGGCCCACGGACGTTCAGCTTCTTGTCCGCGTACGCGTCCAACAGATTGACCAACCAGCCCGCCGTGTACGGTTCCACGCGCGTGTTCTTCTTGAGCGCGACGGCAGTGACGACGCGGGCCGCCACTTCACGGTGGGTCGCGTCCGACGACACCAACGCTTCGTTGATCAAGCGGTGGACGTGGTTCAAGTTGATCTTCTTGTTCGTGTCGATCAACTCGGCCACCTTGCCCGCAGCGACCACCTGGTTGTCCGCGGCGGCAGCGAAGGCTTGCTTGAGCGCTTCATCGAATTGCTTCGTGGCGTCTTCGACAGAGGTCGGCATTCTGTCGGGCAAAATGGAGAATGAGCCGTCCTCGGCATCTCTCCCCACGTCGCGGCGACACCAGTCGTGTATATATAGCCAAACGAGGGACCCACATCCTGGTTTCGATGGCTATAAATACGCTGCCATGTGGAACCTGTGAATCCTGAAACGCAATAAACTGTTGCAAATGGTGGATATATTTTCAGTATTGTTGGGATGTATTTAGTCTGAACCTGTCGAATTACGTTTTCTGTAGTATTGTATAAACAGCATGGTCTCCTTCCGCAACATCAACCAATCAATAGTGACCCTCGATAGAATTTCACGCATCTTCGTGACCTGGACGGTTGCGCGATGTGGTCGTGCTCCAACCGCTCTCCCCCCAAGGACTCACTGCCAATGCGGTGTCAACCACCAGCGCACGGCACCGGTGATATCTCGTCATGCTTCCAAGTAGCCGCGATCGCACGTTGCTGGTCAACTTTGCATGAGCCACGATGCTGGCAAACCAGGGACATGACGGGGTCCCTTGTAGCTTGCGCCTTCCCATACGCCTGCAAACACCGTACTCCAAGCACCAACAGCGACGACAAACGCACAACTCACTGTTCGATTTACACATTTAGTCGAGTCGTGCGACCGACGTAACCACTCACACGTCGTCGCCAATCAAGCGGGCAAGAGTCGCCACGTCTTCCTTGGACAACGAGAGATGCTCGACAGCAAGATCTTCCACCATGTGATGCTTGCTCGTGGTGCCAGACAACGGTACAATCCCGAGCGCCATTACGAAACGGTACCACACTTGCTCTGGGGTCACCCCGAGGCGGGTGGCGATCGCTGAGACTTCACCACTGCGTACTTGGCGGGAGTTGCCAGTAAGCGTCCAAAAGCTTTGGTATTGTACGTTGTTCTCACGGCAAAACTGGCGCAGCTGCGTGTCGTGCCCGGTCTCGCCATAAAAACGATTCTGCAGCACCGACGGCGCCACAGTCGCAGCATGGAAGAGACGGATGAAGTCATCCGGGGAGTACATGTTGGAAATGCCAATGCGCCGAGCTTTCCCGTCGTGATAAAGCTGCTCCATTGCGCGCCACACTTCCATTGTCTTTTCATGGGTTGACAATGGTCCGTGGAGCACCAATGAGTCGACATAGTTCGTCTGCAAGTTGCGCATGGATGTCAAGAATGACTGATGCACTTGCTCGCCAAGAGAGACATTTGGGTCGTACGGCAGCGGTTGATTCGTATCTTGGCCATTTAACGACGTGAACTTGGTCTGGAGGAAGATTTGGTCTCTCGTGACGATGCCAGACGCGTACAACTGAGCAAGCGCGTCGCCCACACCTTTTTCAAAATAATGCTTCGGTTGGCACGCTGTGTCAATTCCTCGGAATCCAGCTTCCACGGCCTGGATGACTAGCTCCGCTGTGCGCTCCTTCTTCCACGCAGTTCCATACATAATTTTGGGCATGGGAACCGTCATTGCACAATGGTCACCTGGGAGATTTGACGGTGCCGACGACAAGGCGGCGGCCTGTATGAGACTTGCGACGAAAGTCACTCCCAACACCAACATATTTAGTGACATACTAAATATTGGAAGTATTTTTACACTACATTTTGAAGTTAGTAATTACTATATGGGATTAGGCAAAACAGAGTTTTAGTAGTAGTATTAGAATAGTAGCTAGTAGGAGGGTAGACCCCATGGACGGACGTCCATGGGAATTCATTTAAGGGGTAAAATAAAGCTCATAACGCAATCGACGTCGACTTCGCGCAAGGATCTTTTGTCGATGGGAGCTGTGTACAGATAGAAATGACAACGCCTCTATTGGCAGCTTGGAATACGGGGATCCTGAAGACAATGATGTCGAGGATGTGTCACAAAGGGCGGCGCCCCGGGGTCCACATTCTGACGTGGGAGCTTCACTACTGATTCTATCGATTTTTGAAATCTATGCATTCTAAAAGGTTTCTTGGCAGCCGTGTTTGGGAAGGCGGAATGAATTGAATCTTGGCTGGCCAAGATGCGCCGTAGATAATAGAATCATCGGATTTGACAGGTTTTGTTCAGCCCGAGATTAGATCCATCATCATAAAAAACGGTTTTCCTGACAATAATATTGCAATCCACCTCTCGTCACTGGCTCGAATACCTTGTTCTATTGCGAATTTCCAGGACAATCATGAATAAAAATATTCGAACTAAAATACATTGTACCTGGAATCAGCGACGAGGCATCGAGGCGCCCAATGCAGATTCACGACCACATAACACAGCATATCCTTCAACCTTCGCAGATTTATACAACATTTTACCTTAGTTTACAACAAATAACTGACAAGCCAGATTGGCAGAGATATTTACTCTAGATTCCACTATAAACATATCGCGCCATTTCAGCATATCCTCCCACGACGACAAGAAAGCAAGGACGACCCGATGCCAACAATTTCAAAAGTCACTTCTACAAAGTATGAAATGTCAGCTGCCCATGAAGTCGACCCATTTCAACACGACGTGGAGCAAAAATGACTGGTTCAAAAGTAGTGGCGTCCAAAATGAGTGGCGAGAGGACGTCGAGGACGGCTCATTCTCCATTTTGCCCGACAGAATGCCGACCTCTGTCGAAGACGCCACGAAGCAATTCGATGAAGCGCTCAAGCAAGCCTTCGCTGCCGCCGCGGACAACCAGGTGGTCGCTGCGGGCAAGGTGGCCGAGTTGATCGACACGAACAAGAAGATCAACTTGAACCACGTCCACCGCTTGATCAACGAAGCGTTGGTGTCGTCGGACGCGACCCACCGTGAAGTGGCGGCCCGCGTCGTCACTGCCGTCGCGCTCAAGAAGAACACGCGCGTGGAACCGTACACGGCGGGCTGGTTGGTCAACCTGTTGGACGCGTACGCGGACAAGAAGCTGAACGTCCGTGGGCCGGCCCAAGAAGCCGCCAAGGCGTTGGTGCAATCGTTCAACGAGAACGCGTTGAGCTTTGTGCTGCCGTTGATCTTCCAAGGGCTGGACCGCGTCAAGAAGTGGCAAACCAAGGAAGGCGCGCTCAACTTGATCATCGACTTTTGCGCGCTGCACCCCGTGCAAGTGTCGCGCAACTTGCCCGACATCATTCCGAAGGCGACCGAGCAGATCTGGGACACGCGCCCGGAAGTGAAGAAGGCGGCGAACGAAGTCATGATCAAGGCGTGCTCGACGGCGTCGAACGCCGATATCGAGCCGTTCATCCCGGCCTTGGTGTCGTGCATGGCGAACCCGACGGAAGTGTCCGAGTGCGTGCACAAGCTGGCGTCGACGACGTTCGTGAAGACGGTGGAAGCGCCCGCGTTGGCCATCATGGAACCGTTGTTGGTGCGTGGGCTGAACGAGAACAAGACGTCGGTGAAGCGCCAGACGGCTGTCATCATTGACAACATGTGCAAGTTGGTCGAAGACCCGGCCGAAGCGTTGTTGTTTACGCCCAAGGTGCTGCCCACGTTGAAGCGTATTATCGAGTCGGTGGCCGACCCCGAGTGCCGCGACGTGGTCAAGCGCGCCCACAGCACGCTGCTCATGGCCGCCGGTAACGTCGAGCTGAGCGAAGACGAAGGCAAGGTCGAGTTCTCGGCCGTGTTGGCCGCGTTGAAGACCATCATCGACAAGATCCCGGCCGCCAAGAACGCCCACATTGACGAAGCGACGCTCAACTACGTGGCCGGGAACGGGTTCTACCTCACGTTGGCCCGCAGCTTCATTCCGGAGAAGTGGTCCAACTCGGTCAAGCCGTACCTGCTTGCGTTTGTGGACGAGCACGAGATCCCGCACATCACCAAGGACTTTCGCGAAAAGTGCTTCAAGGACAACAAGCTCAAGATCGCGGACGACGTGATCCAAGAAGACGAAGGCGAAGACTTGTGCGACTGCGAATTTTCGTTGGCGTACGGTGGTATGATTTTGCTCAACAACGCGCGTTTGCAGCTGAAAAAGGGGCACCGGTACGGTTTGTGCGGGCCCAACGGCGCGGGCAAGTCGACGTTGATGCGTGCGATTGCAAACGGTCAGTTGGAAGGGTTCCCGTCCAAGGACGAAGTGCGCACGGTGTACGTCGAGCACAACTTGCAAGCGGAAGAAGCCGACTTGTCTGTGTTGGACTTTATCTCGAAGGACCCGAACTTTGAGGGCGTGTTGTCGCGCAAGGAAGTGTCGGACACGTTGGCGTCGGTCGGGTTCACGGACACGATGCAAGCGCAAGCGGTCGGGTCGTTGTCGGGTGGGTGGAAGATGAAGCTCGAATTGGCCCGCGCCATGTTGATGAAGGCCGACATTTTGTTGTTGGATGAACCGACCAACCACTTGGACGTGGCCAACGTTGCGTGGTTGGAAAACTACCTGACCCATGCCGGCGACGTGACGTCGATTGTGGTATCGCACGACTCTGGATTCCTCGACAACGTGTGCACCAACATCATCCACTACGAAAAGAACCGCAAGCTCAAGACGTATGTGGGCAACATGTCTCACTTTGTCGAGCTGCGCCCGGAAGCCAAGGCGTACTACAACTTGGAAGCCGCGACGTTTGCGTTCAAGTTTCCCGAGCCGGGGTTCCTTGCCGACATCAAGAACAAGGGCAAGCCCATCATCCGCATGAACAACTGCTCGTACCAGTACCCTGGCGCGTCCAAGCCGTCGATCAACAACATTACGATTACGTGTGCGTTGTCGTCGCGCATTGCCGTGATCGGGCCCAACGGCGCCGGCAAGTCGACCATGATCAAGATGTTGACGGGCGAAGTCGAGCCGACGACAGGGACGTTGTGGAAGCACCCGTCGATGCGTTTTGCGTACGTGGCGCAGCACGCGTTCCATCACATTGAAGAGCACTTGGACTTGACGGCGAACCAGTACATCCAGTGGCGTTTCCAGTCTGGTGAAGACAAGGAATTGATGGCCAAGGAGACGCGTAAGATTTCGCCGGAAGAGAAGGCGCGTTTGGAACAGCCCGTCAACTGGGAAGGCGAGAAGCGCGTGATCGAGTCGATTGAGAACCGCCGCAAGCTCAAAAAGTCGTTCGAGTACGAAATCAAGTGGGTGAAGCTGCCCGACACGGAAAACTCGTGGGTGCCGCGAGAGAAGCTCGAAAAGTGGGGCTTTGAAAAGTTGCTCCAAATTGCCGACGATCGCGAAGCGGCCCGCGCCAACTTGCAAGCGCGCCCCGTCACGGCCATCGCCGTGCAAAAGCACTTGGACAACTTTGGGCTGGGCGCTGAATTCGGCACGCACTCGCGCATGCGCGGTCTCTCTGGCGGGCAAAAGGTCAAGGTCGTCTTGGCTGCGGCCATGTGGCTCAACCCGCACATCTTGGTGTTGGACGAACCGACCAACTATTTGGATCGCGACTCGTTGGGTGCGTTGGCGACGGCCATCAAGGAGTTTGGCGGCGGCGTCGTCATGATCTCTCACAACCGCGAGTTCACTGACCACTTGGCGATCGAAACGTGGAACGTCGAGGCCGGGTTTTGCTCGATCGAAGGCCAAGTCATGGAAGACAAGACCAAAATTGAACAGATCGACGCGCAGGAGACGGTCGACGCGTTTGGCAACAAGACGGTCACCAAGGTCAAGCGAAAGCTCACCCGCAAGGAGCTCAAGGCCAAGCTCAAGCTGAAGAAGGAAGCCGAGAAGCGTGGCGAAATCTACGAAGACTCGGACTTGGACGACTACGTTGACGAGTAAATAGATCGGTAGCCCATGTCGGCTGCACATAGTGGAGCTGAAGATGCTTTTGTATAATCTACGTTATTTTCTCTGCCCACTTGATGCTGATATTTTTACCTTGGATAATTCGTCAACGACACGCGAGGTATTTGCGTCCGCTTGTGTAGTTTACGTTGGTTTGTCATGAGATCGTCCGCGGCTTGGAAGAAGTGGCGGTGTTTTGCCCAAAGCTTGATAATTCTGCCTTGCGCGTTATCTTCGGTGGCGATGCTTAAGCTGGGCAGCCTTGTCGGCAGAGATGGATCGGTGCACTTGGCGACAGTTCTCAAAATGGTTCGCTCACGTCGTAAGGTGGTGTCGCCAGCGAATTGCCCATTAAATTTGGACAGGTCTTGTCGAAATTTTATTTCGTTCGGGACGTGAATACATTAATTCAGATAATAAAATAGTATACAGGATGTTGCGCCTTTTTTGCATCTTGAACAAACACTCGCCATGGCGGTGCGACGAGTGCTCCGCGTTGCTGGAGTCGGAGCAAGCGCTGCGATCGCCGTCGGAACCGCTGCTCTGTACATCGATGCGCCTGTTGCAGACAAAGACGACGACACCTTTCTGCAGCACCGTGCAAACCATACCCGAGATCGCTTTCCTGCGTATGTTTCTGCTGCGGCAAGGTCCGTTCTGTTTTACCCTGCCACGCTTGTGTCCAAAGTGTACCTGGGCATGATGAACGACTTTACGTGTCGCAACGAAGAGACGTTGGAGAAGTGGGTCCTCTCCCGACCTGACCACCGCGCACTTATCACTGTGACGAACCATTCGGCAACGGTGGACGATCCAGCGGTGCTTGCAGCGATGCTTCCATGGTCCTGTGCTCGCCCTAGTTTGTCTCGATGGTCTATCTGCAGCCAAGAGTACTGCTACGCGAAGGGGCCTCTCCTGTCCACTATTTTCTTTGGAACGAAGACTCTGCCCATCAAGCGCGGCGCTGGCATTGACCACCCCTTCCTCGAAGATCTGTTCAAGCGGGTGCAAGACGGTGACTGGGTCCACATCTTCCCCGAAGGTAAAATCGTACAAGGCGGTGGTAAGTCTTTTGCGTTTTCATTTGATCCCCCGTATTTTCATTGATGCTTTGTGGGACGCAGCGTTGGGAGGTCGTGACGGGCCCGAAGCCACCACAATCGGGCGTCTGAAGTGGGGAGTCGGCAAGCTGATTGCCCGCGCCGAGATCACGCCAGTGGTGCTGCCCATCTACCACGTTGGCATGGACAAGGTATGTGCAATCCATCGTGAGACTTTGCAAACTGCACTCTTCGTATTCTTGGCGAGCCACCACTGACGTAGCTGTTTCAGGTGATGCCGCAAACTGCCGAGCACAAGCTCAAGAGTGTCATCCCTCGAGTCGGGCAACGCGTGCATGTGGTCGTGGGGAGCCCCATCTACTTTGACGACCTCTTCAAAAAGTACGAGGCCGACAGACGCCAAGGTATCGCGGTAAGGCGCCTCTTTCCTTCTTGCCCTCGTGTCGTGTTGATGTATGAGCTGGCAGGGCGACGGGTTCACGTGGGAAAGCGGAGCGGCCGAGAAGAAATTGTACTCAGCAATTACGCGACGCATCGAGTTGGCGCTCCTGGCGCTCGAGAAGAAGTGCTACATTGACATGGCCGCGATCGACAGTGCCCGAGCAAACACTACCACGCTGATGACATAAAAAGTTGGGTTTGTTACAGTTCTTGGTTGCACAGCGGACAAGACGGCGTGCGCGTTGAGTTGGCCAGAGTTAGCGCCCACTTGTCCATGCATTCGAGGTGGAAATCGTGCTTGCATGTCGACAGGATCCGCAGTACGTCACCTGCAACATAGTCTTCGCAGCATATGCAGCACGATGCGGCAGGCCCGCCGCGGAAATCTTGGAGGAGTCGAACGAATTCCTCTTTTTCAATGACTTTACCGTGGGGAATACCGCGCACCGCAAGACGCTCCTTGAGATCGTGCACACTGCATTCGGATGGCGCCTTAAACTCTTCAGTTGGGAGTCGGGAAATTGTCTTGAGCATGCGGCTGTACTGCTCGTTATTCTCCTGGTGCATGGGCTCGTCCTGGACAGCTGTGCCACGGGCAGGCGAAAGAAAGCTGGACATAAGATACGTCACGAACCCACTGACACCGCGCTCTTGCAAGACTGCTCGCTTTGTGTAGACTGTGTACGCGAGGTATCCCAGGCCCACCGTTAGCATGAGCAGATCCTGCCGAATAGAGATAGATGTTCCTTGTAGGAGCATGGGCGCGACCTGTACCGCGATCATTGCAAACACGACGGCCGGCGGCATGTTGCCGTTGATCATGATGAAGACCATGATGACGAGAGTTTTTTTCAGAAATGTCAGTTCCCTGCGGGACAGGTGAATTTTAGCCAATCAAAAGCATTTGATGTGTTTCAGCCAATTAAAGTAAGCCATTTTGCAATTTTTCAGAGCATGAGCCAATCAAAAGAAATTAGTCGCACAAAAACAACACACGCGACTGGAATGTTCGCCAAGCATCAAGGTGCCGAGTCGACGGAGGACATTTTCGTTCGGCATGGCAAAGCGGATGAGCCCATGTGAATGAACTCACGTGAAAGAGCTACAACAGCGGTGAACGCTTGAAATGCCACACAGTCCGGCTGATTGAATAGAGCGCGACGACCGATCGAGGATTGTCAGTGAGGATGCCAGAAGTTGGTCCGATCAGCTCCTCGTACTGGAACATAGCGGAAGATGCTGGGGCATGAATTCACGTGGCCATTGAACTGTGCCCACGTAGGGAACTGAATTGCCAAGCATGAAAACTACTTGCCTCAACACTGTCATTGCTCCAGCTCATAAAAGGTCCTCGTTCCATTCAAGTCCCCGCTAATGCACACGACATGACTACGATACAATCAAGCACGCACTAACAAGACTTCCACATCTTGTTCAAGGCATCTGGGCGGTTGTCGTGGGAGGAGCGACAGTGGTGGATGCTGCGACGACGACGGGCTCGGCCGTCGCGACCGTGTCGTTGGCGGAACCGGGGGCGTCGATCTTGACACATTCAATGGTCCCCGTGCCTTTGAACTTGAGCAATGCGTCCGAGTAGTCTTGGTTGTACGATTTCCACGGCTGCACCTCGCTCGCCTCGTACAGCCCGTAGTTGAACACGCCGGGCTTGGTCGTGTCCCCATTAAACTGGTACTTGCTGTCCGGATTCAAGCTCCACGCAAACCCGCCAGACATGGCGCGGTCCGCCGAGTACTGGACAAACAGCTCGATCGCGCGCGACGACGTCTTGAGAGGGAACATGTCCTTGGCGCCGTAAATCCCGCCAAACTCGCCAAACATGACGGGTGACTCGACCGTCTTCATGGCGTTTCCAAACGCGAGATCCAACGCCCGGTACACGTTCGCCTTGAGGTTCGCATTGCCCTCGGGCGTGTTGGGCCATTCCTCTGTCGTCGCGCCGGCGCCAGCGCTCGCAAACGACGCAAAGTAGTACGGCGCTGGGTACACGCTAGGCGAGTAAAAGTGCGGCACGTACACGAGCTTGTTCTTGTTGGCGGGGGCGACCGGCACGGGGTACTTGGTCACGTTCTGGAGGGCGGCGCCCCACCATTCCTGGTAGTACAGCGTCGCGTTGGCGCTCGCCTTGGTGATGAACCCCGTGTTGGCCATCGTCCCCGACGCCAGCCCTTCCACGAACGCCATCCACTTGGGGCACACGGCCAGCATCGCGTCGGCGAGTTTCGCGGCGGCTTTCGGCCAGTTCCTGGCGTCTGGACAGCTCGCATCGACGGCCCCGCCTGGCCAACACCCCTCGTGCGGTTCGTTCTTGAGATCGACGCCCAGGATGTTGTAATAGTTGGAGTTGCACAGCTCAGTCGCGAGCGTCTTGATCGCTTTCTCGATCGCAGCGACAGGAATCGCTGCGCTGTACCACAAACCTTCCTTCTTGCCCTCCACGGCCGGGTCCAGCTTGTGGATGTCGAGCAGCACGGACACCCCCTTCTTCGCCAGGCCCTGCACGATCTTCTTGATCATGGACATATAGTCTGACACGACGAGCTCCTGGTTCAAGATCGGGTCCACAAAATCCTTGATGTTTGGCGCTGCGTTCGAGTTGATCATGAGCACGTTCAGCGGCAAACGGACGGCCGTCATGCCTTGCTTGGCCATGCGGTCCACGATATCGTTCTAGCGACGTTGACGGGTCAGGTTGCTCCCAACGACGACGAGAGACGTACCAAGGAGGCTTGACCAAAGGCAAGGCCATGCGGCACGCCTTCCGGGTTCTCCATGCCGCTCCAGTTGATGCCCGTGATGATAATCTTCTGGGACGGCGCGCTCTTGTACTTGGCGTAAATCACGCCTTTCTCGTTCACAAAGTCGGGCTGTTCACAGACTACAGCACGGTCAGCATCACACCACCAACGACGTTACGTACTCTTGGGGGGAGTGATGGGGGGCGGCGTGCGGTTCAGGATGA